TTTTTCTGGCACCTCATAAACTATCCAGCCAATCAGATCTAAGAATTGCCAGTGTTTTAAACACAAAGAATTCCTCTATATAAAAGACAGAATTTTTTTGTCCAGTCAGTACAATATTTTTATATGATTTTTTTTTTAATCCATTCTAGGTGTGGGAATTAATTCCAGGCAATTTTGGGAAACAGGACATGCAAAATACATGATGCATAGCCACTGAGAAGTCTGTAGTTGTTTTCTGTTTGAGCCTCTAAATTTCTCCACATTGATCAAGCCCAGCTGGAGTGTACTGTTCTTAACACCTCCAACTGAGCAAGGCATGATGATATTGTCCACCCTATTTTTGACAAACACTGCGTTTTGTTTGTCCATTTTGTGATACTGTTTATTTCCTTTACTGGTCTTTTTTTTCTTCCATCACTGAATCAATGAATTTTCTGTTACCTTACCTGAAGCTGCTATATGGTATTCCTTCCTTCAGTCAAATCTGCTTCCCCTCACCCACTATGTCCACTGAAACTTTATGATCTTCTGTACAAATCTTCCCACCCCCTTCTCTGATTTGCCATTTCTGAACATTATTTTAAATCATTTTGTTCACATCCAGCATGAAATGAGTTCTGCTGGCAGAAAGACACAGCAGCTTTACTGAAAGTGCTCAGGTTACTTGAGACTACTTGATAACAAAGAAATTGCAATTTGTGATAGGCAATGCTTTCAGATGTTAAGCCTGGGACAGCCACGGGGCAGAAAAGTCCTTCCTAAAGGCACATTCTCTTCTGGTTATCATTGGCCTGGAACATTATCTTTCCCGGATAACAATGAACCTGCTTTGCTTTTAGCACAGTCTCATTGCAATTTGGCACGGTATTCCTTACACATTAAAAAAAAAAAAAAAAAGCTTTATTTATTTGTTTTAATTTAGAAGATAAAAATTCAGCATCCTTCACAGAAAAATTCTTTGTGTTGTAGAGTTATAGATAGGAAAAGACAATGAAGTATATCTTATTATATTCAGTGTTTATTTTTACATTGAAAACTATTGCTATTTCTTGCTGATAATTTTGCTGGCGACAACAGGGTAAAAATGCTTTATTACACAAATTATGTACTTCTAGCACAGTGTTTTAAAATGAGAATTACCTACACAAAGGAGACTTTCAGTCAGTCTGTGTAGGCAGCTGGAAATTGGTTTGAATACATGCAGCTAATGGTCACAGCAATTTGCATGGGAGCTGGTTTAATATAAATCTAGGCACTGTTTACTTTAGTTATGCTTTCATAAATGTTGAACATGAGGAATGAAAAAATTCTATACTAAATGGTGAATAAAATCAAAAGGCATTTTTTAGAATTCTAGAGTCAATTATCTAATGAACTAATGTGTTTTAATGAGATATGGCACCTTAATTCCCTTTAAAAACAGAAAAAACCCCTAAGCTGATTTTTTTTCCAATCTTCAAGTGCTAACACTTATTAGTAATAGTTTAATACTCCTATTGACATCAATGGGAGGAAAAAGTGTGAGGAAATACTAAGACTGAAGGCAAATTAATATCACGCATAATTATTCTATTCTTAGAATATTGCATTGCAATAAGTAGGTTAAGCTTTTCAATGCTAATAGCTAATACAACCTCCATCATAAAACTTCCTTCATCTGAAGCCATCAGATATGACATTTACTCTCCCTGTTTAGCCAGGAGGAGTGGAAGCCACTTGCTATAAAATGTCTGAGGTCAACTGGTTTCTTTTTGCTCAAGTGTAGCTCTTGCGCAGATGGTTGAGAAGGTGCAGAATATTATAGTAATCCTGTATTTAATTGTTTCTGTATGTCATGGAATTTAAAGACAATTTAGAATGTGTTTGGCAGTAGCTTTCCCTGCATAATCAGGTTGCTATGGTAAACCTATTATTCTATACAAAGAAAGAGCATGTTTAGTAAAGTGCCGATCTTTTTCAGTATAATGTGAGCTTCAAATTACTTTTGAATGATTGAATTTGTTTGGTAAGTGTTCTATCACAATAACTAAGAGAAGAAGGCCACAGAATAAGGTGTGGCTTCTGATATTTCAGTAGCAGATACATTCTATGTAGTTAGGTGTTCAGAATCAATAGGACTTTAATTCTCGGTTAAACTATCTCCTAAGACAGAGCCCACCTTACACAATCTAACCAAAATCTCAGTACTTTTGGAGGCAAAATATAATTTTGAAGCCAGTAAAAAGTTGCAATTATTAAGTGCCACTACTAAATTAATCTTATTTCTAGTGCTTATCTTGTAACATATGTAAAAGTAAAGGAATGATAAACTAATAACTTGTGTATCAATTTCAGCAGTAGTGTACTAAGCTACTATAACTGTATTTTGAATATTTAAAAGTAACGAAATAGTTCAGAGAAACCAGAAATCCTTTTCTAGAGCACTTACTGACTGAGGTTTTTGTCTATTTTCAAGACACTTTCAATTCTGCTGACATCTGCAGTCAGACGATCTAAACCATATTCTGAACTTAGATGGGAGCCAGGTAAAATAAAATATGAGGCACAGATATTAACGAGGAATTCAGGCTTTTTGAATATATGTGTTTGTGCTTTGTTCGTTAGCTGAGAAGACTGAGAAAATAAAGACCTAAATTACCTTTGAGCTTGTATCTCTTACCTGACAAAAATGTGCCCTGTCTGGGAGTGGGCATCCCTTCATTTTTCTGCTGGTGAAACTGTTGCACATTAAATAAAATGAATAAGTATTACTTGCAGCAGAGACTGAGAGGAGCCTGTTCCTATTGCAGCGTAAGTGACTGGCCACTGGGCTCTCAGGTCATTCTGACTTATTAAATTAAGCATTACAGAAGATAAAGCTTAATTACAGAACATGCAGAATGCTTATTACAGGGCATTCCTTTGCTCATTCCTCTGGAGGATTTTCCATCTCTGATGACTCCTCTCATCAAAACAACTTTTGCTTAAACTGATTTTATTTTCCTTCAGGCATCCTCTTATTATAGCAATAGCTAGCCAGGATACCATTGCTAAAGACTCTTTTCTGTTTATTTTATAGAGTTTTCACAAAAGGTGGGTCCTGTTCATCAGGTACTTCCCTGCCTATGGGTGAATGACTCTTCTTTGGGACACCATGATGTGATATATTTGTAAAAACAACCATGTTGTCTAAGGTGGATGCATAGAAAGAGACTATGAGAGCCCTAAATAGTGACAAATTAGACTCATTAAAATTCTCTGTATATTTAATTACTAAGGAATTTTTTTTTCAGTTTCTAATGTGCCTGTCCTTGACAAATATTTATAGCTAAGAGAATGCAGGCAAATAACATCAATTTTTCTGCATACAATCATATCTTAATTTTTGACATGATTACTAAGCACAATGTATTTAGTGATGTGGTAGATGCACTTCCTATAAGAAGTTTCTTTCTGGAATGAATATCCCCACATTATTACCAATGCAACACAGTTTTTAAACTATGTATATCATAAAGTTATCATGAAGTATTTGCTCTAATTCTTGTTATCAGCATGACCTTTTAAAAATTCTTGCACTTTATGTCCTTCCAGATTGAATCCTGGCATATAGAAAGTCAGCTCGAAAGTGTATTAGAGGCTTGGAGCAGCTATAAAATGAACTAAGAATTTTTTTCCATAAGTAATAAGATCCCCTATTACTCCAGCTTAATTAGACTATTAAAACAAACAAACACCCAAGTAAAACGAAACCAAACCCCCCCAACAAATATAACAAATTTACGTTAGGAAAAAAATATTAAGAATTATCTGCCATTATGTTATTATGTTACCTAAAAGGTGTTTATTGTCACAAAACCTACAGTTAGAAAACCTCCACTAAGATTTTCATTCAGTAAAATATTTCAGAAAGTGCTAAAAAAATTTAGTGCAGTGTGTGGTTAAGTGTCTAGTTACATAATGAAAGGCTTTGCTTGGAGAATTGTTTTTTAGTTTCTAGCAATATTTGCTTCTGCTGTAAATTTGGGTTCAGTAAGTAGAGCAGTGGGCAGGCTCAGGTTGAGACTCACTGGTGCTGTGATTAAGTTAAATCAAGAGGAACAGGCTCTTCTACATCCTGATCTATGTCTCTGGTGGCTCTTTTTTACACATAATATTCTTTCCCATTAAATGTTTTAGTTTGGTCCATGGTTTGTGTCATGTTTAAAACATTCTCACACCAGTATTGCATTAAAACAATTTAAAAACATACAGAGGCAAACTCTTAGAAGTTAGGGCCAGTGTTACCTGAAATGAGTTTGTCTCAGATATATGCAGTGTAAGACTGTCCTTGATATTAATTTTTTTCATACCTGACTATTTAGTACTTTCGGCTCTGATGGTTTTGGAGTGGAAAATCTGTTGGAGCTTGGATAAATCCTTTGGCCCTTTAAGCTCTGAGGAGCTCTACTGTAAATAGGTTGATGGAAGGGGAGACACTGAGAGAGGTTGTGCTTTTGACTTCTGTTTTCTGAGATCTAGACAAGAAAAATTACATGCATTTTTGCTTTCGAAATGCTTGACAGAGTATTTGATGAATTATGTTTCTACGTGGAGAGTATCTTAGATAACCCTGTGCAGAGACTAATTCTGATCACATTAATATTGGAGCTTCTGAGGTATGTGGTAAATATTTTAGATCAATTATAGAGGTTAATTATGCAGATAAGCATGGGTCATAGCTCAGTTATACAAAGTTCAGGTATGAAAAGCATGCAATGCCAATGATTCTATACTGTTGCTGTTTCTACTAAGATATAATAGCGACATGCTGTCCTTCTGGTTGCCATGGAGGAGGAATAGTTTTGATTAGTTTTTGTTTGGTTTGGGTTTTTTTAATCATGTTTATGTGCATACTTTAGTGAATGGAGAGTGACTTTTAATTTGTCTTTGGGGGGTAGGGTGTAGAACAAATTTAGGTTTTCATTTAATTTATTTTACTTCACTGAAATCATGACTCTATCAATTGTTTATTCTTACAGGGAGATGTGAATGTGGCCAATGCACTTGTTTCCCTCCAGGAGACAACAGAGTTCATGGCAAAAACTGTGAATGTGATGATCGACAGTGTGAAAATGCAGAAGGAGATGTCTGTGGGGGTATGTGTTCACTTAATGAAAATAACAACATAACATAAAATAACAATAATATAACTAAATCTTGACAGTTTATAACTTTCTGTTCCCCTTGATTTTATAACATAACGTCACTATAGAATATTGACATAATTGATTATTAATAATAGATTACAGATTTTCGTAAGAAACAATCTCCAGAAATATTAAGTATGTAAGTGAATATTTATTTTAAGACTTCAGAAACACTAATACTGAAGTTGATTAGTTAGTGGCATAAGTGTAAGTACTGTAGTATATCCAAATTCCATCAACGTCCATTAGAGAAGAATACAGACACTTGAAGAAGAACCTGAAATATTAGGTAATTTTACTTTGTGTTTAGTACAGCTGATGTTTCATTACGTTGTAACATACCTAAAAGTATTAAGGACTAGATAAAATTTTAAATGCTTCATAGTCACTGACAGTGATATGCCTGTTTACTAAAAAAGTCACAAAATACATCGTGAAAGACTCTAAAATGCTTGAGAGACAGTGTTATAGTAATTGTCGATGCAGATGGTTTGGTTTAATGTTGACCAAGAAAACCTCACTCAGGTAGTTTTGGATATGTAAATGTATATATGCCATATGGTATTTCAAAAGTAGGTTGAGTTAACTGTTCTTGTTCCAGATGTTACTGACTTATTTTTAAAATGATTCTTTGATTCTAAATATTCATAAAGTAGTTGGTATGAGCAATGACACACTGTATTATTATATTCCTTATTTCTGTGTAAGAAGAAAACATACTGTTTCATGATCCTTGTGTACATTAACAATTTTGACTACAGCAAATATTTCTTCAAGGTGTCTTCCGTGCAGAATGTGGACATACATAGAAAATTGTGATTTGAATATCTAAACAGCCATAATAATAATTTATAACATTCGGAGTAAGTCGGTAATATGAATACCTAGGAAAAGAATAAATTTGAAATTTAATTTTGTGTAAGGGACATAAAAGTGCAGAAAAGCACTGAAAAGCTGTGTCATACTTATTATAAACTAAATAGTTGGGAAACAAAATTCATTATCATCCATGCTTGAAAAAATCTCTTCTGTTAATATCACTCATATGTTACATTATTCAACAAAAATGCTTCAATCTCAATATTGTTAATGATATTGCACATTTTGGAAAATATAGACAAGAATTCCATTCTTCTTTCTTAGGAGGGATACAGAGATAATTTTGATTTTTGATGCTGGCTAGAGCACCTCACACTCAAATGAATAATCACCGCAATATCTGAGCCAATGTTCATTTTCTACTGTGCAGAAGACACTCTAGGTCACACTTTTACCTGAACAAAGTCTCTCCTTAAGTCTTAACTTCTTTGTCCAGAGAGAACAGAAGAAATGAATGAATCAATTTAAAATCCATATGTTTTAAGCTTATTTTCCTAATTTTGGAGCAACAAATGCAAAAGAGAGACAGGTTATTTTCATAATATTGATATTTCATTTTGTGTTCTATTATATTTATAAATATAACTTGAGATCTTTGCAGCTTATTCTATATTTGGTTGTAATTTACTCCTTGAAGTATGTTCTTATGTTGTCGTTATTGCATGATTTCATTATTTCTTTTGTTCTTTTACAGACAAGAAATGGTTTCCCCTTCCTCTGGTTCTGTTTTCATGCCACAGAATGTTTTCTCATTTGTGCTTTTTTGGTTCTTTCATATGAAGTGTGCTGAGATTCAAATTAATCATGCAGTTCTCTTCCATGCAACAGTTTTCCTTCTCTTGGCTACTGGAGATCCGAAATGATTTGTTCCCTCATTTATTCTCTCTCTCTCTCTTTCTTTCCTTATTTTTCTTTTTTTAATTCTTTCTACTTTTTTCTTCTTTTTTTTTGCTGCTGTCAGATCCTGAAACATTATTTTTTTGATCATCCAGTGTCCATCTGTGCTTCTAATCCACCTACCTCAAGAGGCCACCCCACACCCCAATAACTTAGAAGTGTATTACACCTCTTACACTATTTAGGTATAAGCACTAAGTACAGAAATGCTTATCTTCAGAGGGCCCCATCAATTGCAGCTTTCTGTTCACTCACCATTTAGCAAGTGAACTCCCCTCACCTTTCCTCACCTTCAAACTCATAATATGAACCATTTAATCATTATGCATTTTCTGTGACTTCATCTTTCCTGCCGTTTCATTGAAACGTCTCTTCCCACAGTTTGTGACCAAATGTAGGAATTTCTGTCACTGTTTTCCTTTTCAGATCCTCAAGAGCCTCTGATATTACTGATAGCTTTCACCCTACTCTTTAGTAATAATCAGATGTTTTGCTTAGCTATCCCTTTCTTTCTTGATAACATTTTGAACATTTCCTTTAGTATACCATAGTTCACCTATCTCCCTTTTTAGGATATTCTACCAATTTTAACCTTATTTTCTTTCTTCTTTTGCAACTTATCTATTCACAGAATTTCTCTCATTAATTTTGCACTAATAGCAAACACATCTCCCTCTCCTCCTTTTGGGTTTGTCCACGCTTCTATCTCAGTCTGAACTTCTTGACACCTCTTGCTGACTGCTTATTTCTTCCTCTTTCCTCGTCCTCTTTTCATTGCTGTTTTTCTACCCCTGTTGCTACCTAGGCAATCACTGTCAGTACATAAGCCCTTGATAGTAAATCTGTCTTTGGAGCATTATAAGCTGGACTCTGTGAATGTGCAGGGTCTGACAGTGAGCACTGAGTGCTGGTAAGCACCAGGAAGGAGGGCTAGTGTTTTCAGATTGAATGCGTGCTGAAATAAGAAGCATGAATGACAACCTAAATGATTTGAATAAGAATTGTTACTGGCTTCCTTTGACCATCAGAGATTGATTAATAGCTTGCTTTCCAGACCAGCTGTCCATGCAACGGTAGAAAGACTTGAGGCGAAAGATATGATGAATTAGGGTACAACCAAGAAAGACCCTATTACCATGTTTCTGCATGACTGTTGTGAGTTATTCCCTTAAAAATTCATCTGTCCGTCAATGCAGTACCAGGAATAGAGACACTACATGTCTCCACAAAGGCAGAGGTTGCAGGAGGACTCAGCATAGATTTCACTAGAGCACTCTGCTATTAGAAATTGATTCATATGATTATGGAATCATAGAATGATTTGGGTTGGAAGGGACCTTTAAAGGTCATTTAGTCCAATCCCTCCCTGATGTGGTCAGGGAACCTTTCACTAGATCAGGTTGGTCAGAGCCCCATCCACCCTGGACTTGAACATTTTCAGGCATCTCTAAGAGATCTGTTCCAGTGTCTCAACACCCTAATTGGAAAAAATATCTCCTTATGTCCAAGATAAACTTACTATCTTTCAGTTTAAAACTAGAAACCCTTGTTCTGTCACTACAGACCTTGAAGTGTCATTCTCTCTCTTTCTTATATTCCCCCTTTATAATGTTGAAAGGGCACAGTAAGGTCTCCCCAGAGCCTTCCCTTCTCCAGGCTAAACAATCTCAACTCTCTCAGCCATTCCTCAAAAGAAAGGTGATCCATCCCTTTGACCATTTTCATGGCCCTTCTCTGGACCTCCTCCAACAGGTCTGTCCATGTCTTTCTTGTACTGGGGACCCCAGAGCTGGATGCATTTCTTCAGATCGGGTCTCATCAGAGTGGAATGGAGAGAGAGACTCACCTTCCTTGACCTGCTTTCCAGTTCCTTCCTTTGTGTTCCCCTTCCTTTGTCTGGGCCTCTGTACAGAGACTTATTATGTGATAGCTGGAGGAGATGTCTCATGCAGCTTTTTTGAGATAGGTATGTTCTACCTAAAAGCCCATTCTGTACAGTTCAGTTTTTTTCAATTATGTAAGATTTTTCCAGGTATATGGCAGTGCTGATCCACAAAAATATTTAACATCACATTTTCTTTGGCTTTACTTGGTTCTTCGGGTCTTTCATGTGCAAGGTAAGTGGTTTTGATGCACACATATGACCAGAGAATGACAGGTTTGTCAACACAAGTTCTTTCGTGGCAAGGCTATGCCACTGATGTACATCAGGCTTGATACTTATTTGTCCTGTATCCTGGTAAGAGATACTTTTCTTTGCCCTCTGAGGTTATGGCTGTGCTGCTCACTGCAGATGTGTCCTGAGCTTTCAAGTGTTCTTTATTCCCCTACTGTGTCCGATCATGTTTTCCAGTGATATCATCATTGGCTGCTCCACCTCACTGGGTTGACTGCTGTCCATTATATTCTGTTCTCTTTCAGGATTGAGAGCAGGCAGACAACAAGAGCTCAAAACAACAGTAAAGATCAATTTGAAATTGATTTTATAATGCTCTTAACTTCATTTACTTTGATTTGTTCTCTGGACAATTATTGGCCTGGGTGTGAATTCTTGTCGTGGAAAAGTAGCAACCCTTAAAGGAATAAAACAAAAACCCTTTTGGGTACCCTGGATGCTACAAGTCCTGTAGGATTAAGCTGATTAAAAACTCTACAACAAAAATAGAAAAAGTTGATTGAAGATCCACACAAATTCATCACTAGGACCACTAGCAAAGGTTTAGACTCATAACAGGTAACTTATAACAAGGCTCTTGCATATTTCTAGGGATGCTTTAACTTTGTATTACATAAGTATATCATTCTGTGCTTCAACTAGTGGACCACCAATTAGAAAATCAGCTTTGATGGGATCTTTTAATGTTTACTTATAAATGTTTGCACTGTTCTCAACACTAAGAAACAACTAAGAGTCTGATCATTCCAGTAAACCAGTTCTTTGATTAGTTATGGTAATGGAATCCCTTGAGAAGTCTGATTTCTTTATTTTCAAGTGAAAAAATACACTTTGATGACTTTTAAACTGTTTGTTTTGGCCACAGCACATGAAAATACAATCTTCGTCAAAATACAATCTTAACACTGTAGAAAATCCAGTTGTGTAATGTTATGTCACATCAAAGAGTTTTACTTGTTTATACCAATGCCCTTTGGTAAAAGGTTCTCATTAGTTT